TGGCGCTCCGGCAAAGACCATATATTCTGCGTTTTGTCTGCCGTTGAGTTCCTTGGCTACTGGACGAATTTTGATGAGGGATTCATTTTTATCATCCAGAATATTTTTCTTAACAGGTACTGATCATCTAAAGGTTATTGCAGATTGCTTTTGTATGTAGCCGAGTAATATGATCTAAGTGAACTTAAGCTTTGGCACTGGTATGTTTTTTGTTGTTTTTTTCAATCTCTTTGGACTCTTCCCCTTCCTTTTCTTGTTGTTCACGACTATGTATAATTGAAATATTTCAACACTATATACAACACTTCTTTGTATCCACCAACTGTACTATGTTTACACTCCTGTTTCTAGCATATTCATTACATTACTAATCAATCAGTCAATCAAGGGGGGCTAACGCCGACGGGGGCGCATAGCCCCATCCACCCTTCGCTTCCAGCCACGAGGTTCCCTCATGGCAAGACGCCAGGCAGGGACTCGGCCCATCTCGAGTTCATCACGACAGGTTTGGTCCATCTGCCCAAGCCACGACTTTCTAGGTCGTCCCACGGGCCTCCTCCACCCAGGGTTGTCTCTAACAGAGACTACCTGATGGGCAGGGTCATCCTGAGGAAAGCGAGCCAGGTGGCCGTATAGCCTGAGTTGGCGATCACGGATTATGCAGATAACAGGTCCTGTGCCAGTCTCACAGTGTAACCATTGGTTGGACACATGGTCCCGCCAACAGTACCCCATGATCCGGTGCAAGGACCTATTACAAAAGGCTTCAAGACGAGCCTCCAAGGCACAGGATAATGTCCAGGTTTCACTACCGTACAGCAAAACTGGCATTATCAGGGCTTTAAAAACCCGTAGCTTGGGCCTTCTGCACAGGTACAGACATCTCCAAATACTCTTGCTGAGTGAGTTCATGATAGATCTGCCCAAGCCGCGACCTCTTAGGTCGTCCCACAGGCCTCCTCCACCCAGGGTTGTCTCTTACAGAGACAACCTGATGAGCAGGATCAGCCTGTGGGAAGCAAGCCAGGTGGCCATATAACCTGAGTTGGCAATCCCGGATTGTACAGGTAACAGGTCCTGTGCCAGTCTCATGGTGTAGCCGTTGGTTGGACACATGGTCCCGTCAACAGTACCCTATGATCCGGCGCAAGGACCTATTACAAAAGGCTTCAAGACGAGCCTCCAAGGCACAGGATAATGTCCAGGTTTCACTACCGTAAAGCAAAACTGGCTTTATCAGGGCCTTGAAAACCCGTAGCTTGGTCCTTCTGCACAGGTACCAGCACCTCCAAATATTTTTGTTGAGAGAGTTAATGACCCCTGCTGCCAGGCCAATCTGTCTGCTGACTTCTTGTGCAGCTAAAAACAAGGTTGTAAAGCTCTCTGTGACTTCAATGTCCTCACCCCAAGCACGTACCGACCGAACAGGTTCTCCTAGCAAGTCTCCAAAGTCCTGGATCTTGGTCTTGGTCCAGGAGAGCTCTAGACCCAAGGGTTTTGCTTCATTGCTAAATACATCCAGAGCCACCACTAGGGTCTTCAGAGACTCAGATAGAATAGCAACATCAGTAAAGTCAAGGTCAGTAACCTTGATATTGCCCAGTATTGCTCCACACAGTGACTCTTGAACAGTAGTTCTGCCCAGTATCCAGTCCATGCAAGTGTTAAAAGAGTTGGTGCAAAGGAACACAAAGCCTTGCCTACAGCTTGAACTAAAGGAAAGAAGCTTCGACGGCCACCACCACGACTTTACCGCACTTTCAGTACCAGTATCAGGGCTTGCTATGAGTAATCCTTCGTTGGTAATTCCTACTCAGTCTCAGGATCTCCAGAGTCATTCCCGTGCACCGGTCGAACGCATTCTTGGGTCGATGTGGCTGCAAGCACCCACGCCAAAATCAGGACAGCACTCTCAATACAGGACATATGATGAGCACAAGGATATATCCTAGGATGTACGACTCAGTATTAGCACGCGATCTGATGCTCATTCAGTATGAGGTCGGTGATTGGGCTACAGGTCCCATGTGGTGCTTCCCCTTCGAGGAGGAATGACCACACCCGTCAACCTACAGGTCGAAGGAACGGTACACCGAACCACCAGATGGCATGCCAGACAGCACGTACCCCCGCGCCATAGGTGGACCCAGCATTTAAGCAGCAGTGGTATGCCGCAGAACTGCTGTTTGCCGCTTGCAGCTTGTGAGATGTCTTCAGTTAGAGAGGAAGGAGTCTCTCACTGATGGTGGTCCCGGTCCGGAGCTCGCATTCGGCGCATTTAAGGCCATGTAGCATGGTATAAGGGTTCAGGAAGGTATGAGTGACTGCTCAAGTATAGTGCCACGTTCCGGGCACCGCAACAGGGAAATCTGTTACAACTGCCCTGGGGAGGGTTTTGGTTGCACAACCAATCTATGGGTAAGTACAGTCAGCACTTACCTACACCCTGCAATTCTGGGAGGACCTCAACGAGTGCTAACGAGTATGTGGTCGATCTCCTTGGCTGCATTACCGCATCGCTGTACCATGTCCAATGTGGGGGGGCGCTATACAGGAGCCAGAAATCCTCAATTTCTGGGACTAGCAAAAAGTCCCAAAGGAGGCTCTTCTCCCTCCGCATCAGCCCTGAGCAGACGACAGACATACAGCCAGCTCGATCACAGCCAGATACGCATTGAAGTCACCTAGAACAATGCGAATATCTCGCCGGGGACACCTGTCTGCCACAGATGCAAGTTTGGCGTAGGACATCTCTTTCACGTCAAGTTTACAAACAGCAATAAGAGACATGAAGCCAAAAGATAGCTTCAGTCTCAATACCATTATACGCTCATCAACAGGAGTAATCTCTACTACCGAGGGCTGGAGTCTGTTGGAGATGGCAATGACTACTCCCTGGAGGTGATGACCGTCGCTGCGGCCCGACCAGTAATAGGTGTAGCCACCTACATCATGCCGAGAGCAACCACTCAACTCTCAACCTCCCCAGTTCCCTCGACAGCAGAGGCAACCGATCATCCTGACGTAAAGACCGGACGTTCCAAGCCCCCACCCTGACTTCCCGCCTGAGATTCAACCTCGGGCAGTTACTCCGGGTGGATGCCACCCACATAAAAGGGGGTGGCGGGCTGTGGGCCCCATCATCCACCTGTGGGGTTCCCAAGGGCTTTCCCCCACAAGTTTCACTCTGGGCTAGCGGCTGCTAGAGTGCAGGCGAGACGAGTAGTTCCCGTTCCCAGCCTGCGCTCCAGCAGTCATCCCCCCAACAGGGCCCACAGTCCACCTCACTTGCTGGGTGGGAGGGACTTTTCCCCTCCTCCCAGCCTTTCCATTTATGGAGTTCACTGCCAATAGGTTATATCTGGTGAGAGGAGGACTGTCAAGGCCCACCTCCCCTGAGCCTCCCATTAACCCCAGGGGGCTTAGGGGCTGGAGTTGGTACAGTGTCCATGACTGGACTCTGGGGCTCCTGCTGCTCCGAGATCCCACAGTTTAGCCTGGGACCGCAAGGTACCCAGTTTCCATGGGAGGCCACGAGGAGGCACTGCAGGAGTCTCGATGAAGGAGAGGTTGTGAACTGGCAGGGGAAGGCTTATGTAGAGCTGCTCCCTTTTTCGCACGAGGCTAGTCAGTGGTGGCAGTTGTAAGCGGGAAGGCATGCAAGCACTTAACACTAACTAGACTACCACACCATTCCTTCACATCACCCTGTGCGTGTAGCACCCACTCCACAAATTACTAAGTAAAACAAAAATAAAATGTTGTGTGGGTGTGGTGTGAATGTGTGTATATATGTGTGTGTGTGTACTGTATATATATATATATATATATATATATATAATATATATATATATATATATATATATGTATGTATGTATGTAACAGGAACAGGAACAACGAAGGGAAGGGCAAGAAAACACAGGAATATGCCGAAGGCCTTTTCTCTAATGCTTCGTCATGCTGACGAAGCAATAGCGAAAAGGCTTCGGCATATTCGTGTGCTTTCTTGTCCTTCCTTCGTTGTTCCTGTTGCAATCTGTTTATCATTCATGCACACACACACACACACACACACACACACACACACACACACACACACCACACACACACACATATATATATATATATATATATATATTATATATATATATATATATATATATATATATATATATATATATATATATATATATATATATATATATATATATATATAATATATATATATATATATATAATATATATATATTATATATATATATATATATATATATATTATACTACATTATACAATAGATGAACGAGGTAAGGTAAATATAATGATGATAAACAATACATTGATAAATATCGGTCCATTCGATTTTCAGCCATTCGCCCTTCCCTGTTGTTGCCCCATGCCACATCAAGAGACATTATGTAATTGCACCTTAAAGAGGTCATAGTAAACCAAACGAAATAATCATTCAACTTTCCAAAAGAGTAACTCTACTTAAATGGAGAAAAAACACGGTAACGCCAAAGGTTGCGTGAATTCCCCTCAACAACCAGCTACCCTACTGGTTCTAAAGTAAACACTAGTGTTTATTATCATAACACTCAAAATCGCGTGAGGTTTCTCTTCTTGGTTGTGCCTGTTTCCGAGTGTCAGTCATGCTATATTTCAAACTCTAGATGTTGACCTTTACAGTTTGACGTCTACAAGTTATTAGATTGTTGTTAGAGAAGGAGGGAGAGATGGCCGAAGGCGGAGAGGAGAGAGAGACGCCTCCCCGGTAGATCTTTCAAAAAGAAAAACAATTTTTTTTTTAAAGTGAAGAAGAATATTAATTATTCATTTTTTACATGTAGTATGACGTTACACAGTGCATAGCAGGCTAGAGTTTCTAATTTGTTTTTTGTTTCTATTCTTTAATATTTATTTGTTTGAAGTATTAAGCATTCCCAAATGGCCAGTTAATAGTCAATAGTGTACACACAGATCTCATACATAAATCATATTT